GGGTCTATTAAATTAAGATATCTTAATCTCAGTGATCTGGACTGTCTCTCGCATTCATATGTACAGTAGTAATACAGTCTAGAAGATTTTTTTACTCTATCATTTAGATAGTATAGTCGTTACACTAAATGAATTTTATTGAGTCTTTTTAATTGTGCTGTGTCGTGAAGTTTAAAGATATCAAAGAGGTTTTTAACGAACAAAACAGCCAACAGAACAATTTTTAACGTAATTTTTTCTACTTTTCTCCTTGTCTTCCTATTCTGTTTTATGACTGCATTTTTTAATAATAGCTTTTAAAGTTAAATTAAATAAAAAGAAAAGCATGCTTACCATGTATTGAAAGCTGTAATTTCTCTTTGGAACGTTTTTCATTCAACTGTGTTTGTAAATACCTTTCAGTTTGAATAAGATAGAGGCCTTGGAACTTGTGTCTAGTGTAATGATCATCCCAATTCATGAGATAGGAAGCAACTTGTACCCCGGATAGCTCTTGTTGAGAAGCAAGTGCATTGTAACATCGTAGAACGAGCTTCCGCGATTTTTCGATTGCATCTTCTTTGTCTGTTTGATACGATGAATTCATATATGATGTAATACTTTTTTGTACAAGAGCAAATGTATCATGAAACGAGAGACTCATCTTTGTCACATAATCAGTAATATAATAAACTAGAGCCTTTGCATCACTACCACTCCAAATAAATTTAATATCCATATTGGATCGACAGGCTGCGATGATGTATTCATTAAAATTGTTAATCCATGGATCGGATCGTCGCATGGAGATATGACCGGTATCCGGATCAATCGTCGAAGCTGGTACTAATTTGCGTGGCATACGCAGTCGACAAATTTTCTTGTCACCTTGTTTAGGATTAGAATACTTGTAACACGTGCCAGTATGCTTGTGCTTGTTGTCTGTTTCCACAAGTTGTACCACATCTGCACGAAAGCGTGCTGCAAAATTAGGAGATGATGGATTTGGAGTTGGTAAGCAAGCTGGATTTATGTTTGATTGATTATGTAAAACATTCATAACTAAAATATGATCTATACTTTATTTTTTTCTATTACTTCTATTTCTTACTAGATGTTGGTCGATCATGTGTTGGTGTTTGTAACGATTTATTCAATAATGGAGAAGCGTAAGGAATTGAGGGT